TTGACTTAAGGTCTTCCTGACTCCAGCTCAGTGCTCTATCCACCCTGCCTGGCATAAGAGGAAGTAAATGGGATTAAAACGATTAGGACAGCTCTGTGACACAGTAGATAGTGTGCCAGGCCTAAAATCAATAAGATTCATCTTCTTGAGTTTGAATGTAGCCTTAGACACTTAGTAGCTGTGTGACCCTGGGCAAATCACTTCACCCTGCTTGTCTCCATTTCCTCATCTACAAAATGAGCTGAAGTGGGAAACAGCAAACCATGCCAGTATTTTTGCTAAGGAAACCTCAAATGGGTTCACGAAAAGTCTCACATGACTGAGCAATAAAAATTAGAGCTATCCCCTCAGCAAAAAAAAAACACCACAAAATGAACGAAGCCAAAGAGAGGAAATTCTACATAGGAAGCAGTATGTTCTGTCTCAGACTTTCTTTTCCCTTCCTGAGGAAGCATTCACCATCCTCAGGTCTTCTGGGCATTTCCACTTGCCTACTTAGTGCCTTCTTTGCAACTCCAAAGTAATAGACTTCACACTTGTCTGGCATTATATTGTTTACAAGGTGTTATCACACATTATTATATTCTGTCCTTAACAACAGCCCTGGGAGAGAGGCAGGGGTGATGCTGGGGCTGCCTGCATGACATTGTTACTATGGAACTGACCCTCAATCAATCACAAGTAATTAAGTGCCCATACTGGGTCAGATGCTCTATTAGGTTCCAGGAGATTTGTCTTGACAAAAGTGAGACTGTCATTCTCTATGGAATACCATTCTAAAGAAGACCTTATCTATATATCCTCATATATATGCATGTGCAACCTCCCACCTGGGGCCATTTACCAAATTTCCAGTCTTGTTAGTTAGGGGGCAGCTAGATGGTACAGTGGATAGTGTGCTGGGCCTGGTATTAGGAAGACGTGAGTTCAAGTCTGTCCTCAGACACTTATCAGTTGTGTGACCCTGGGTAAGTCACTTTGCCTGTTTGCTTCAGTTTCTTCATCTGTAAAAGGAGCTGTAAATGGAAACAGCAAACCACTCTAGCATGTTTGTCAAGAAAACCCTAAATTGGGGGGTGTGGAGCCAAGAGAGCAGAATAAAAGCAGTGAGTTTCTTGAACTCTCCCCCAAACCCCTCCAAATACCTGTGAAAATGACTCTAAACAAATTCTAGAGCAGCAGAACCCAGAAAAAGATGGAGTGAAACAAATTTCCAGCCCAAGACACCCTGGATGGTTGATAGGAAAAGTCTATCATGCCAGTCTGGGCGAGGAGTAGAGTTCAATGTGAACATACAGGCAGAGACCAGAACTCAGAAAACCTGGGGGAGGCCCCAGGGGACTGAATCATGGGCAGCTGTGGTGGTTTCCATACTTCTCAACCCACAAATGCCAAAGACAATTTAGAAGGTCAGTAGGAAAGTTCTGTGACTGTAGTGAGAGAGAAGCATGTTCGCAGCCCCATTCCCAGCATAACCCCAGGGCTCTGGCTGCTTCTGGAGCTCTCAGCCCACAGATGGAGGGGGGGTTATGCAGTTGATCAGAGGGAGATTGCAGGGATCTCTTTGCTGGTGCTGAGGCAGGATTCTCTTGCTTTGCCCATGCTTTGATCTGGGTAGCAGTCATGGGAGGTGATCCTGGGGTGAGGAGAAGTGCTGGCCAGGTAAAGCTTATGGCATGGTACAGAGAGAATCCTCCTCACACAGTTTCAAGGCAGAAAAGAGTGCTTATGGTCACTCCTGGACTAGAGCAGGCCAGGAAAGGAATAAACACCTCTCCTTTGATCATGCCACCTTGGAAGAACTGAAAATTTATAGGTCCCTAGAAGTACCTCTGAAAACAACTGAACAAAACCCCTGAAGCTAGGGATGGTTACACCCTCCACACTGGAAGCAGAGCTCCCTTCAGAAAGAGTTAAAAAGTCAAGTAATTGGGTGGAAACATGAGCAGGCAGTGAGAAAAGAAAACCTGACTATATAATCTTACTTTGGTGAAAAAGATCAAAACATGCTATCAGAAGAAGACAACAAAGTCAAAGCTCCTACACTCAAATCCTCCAATAAAAATATGAATTGGTCTCAGGCCGTGGAAGAGTCGAAAAAGGATTTTAAGAAGCAAGTAAGAGAAGTAGAGGAAAAATCGGGAAGAGAAATGAGCATGAGGCAAGAAAATCATGAAAAATGAGTCAACAGCTTGTGAAAGGAAACCTAAAAAAACATTGCAGAAAACAACTCAGGGGTAACCTGAGTTCCAATCTGGCCTCAGACCTTTAGTACCTCTGTGCCCTGGGCAAGTCACTTAACCCCAATTGCCTAAGAATTAAAAAATATTAGATTAACCCAAATGGCAAAAGAGGTCCAAAAAGGCAATGAGGAGAAGAATGCCTTAAAAAGCAGAATTGGCCAGATGGAAAAGGAGGTCCAAAAGCTCGTTGAAGAAAATAATTCCTTAAAAATTAGAGTGAAGGAAATGGAAACTAATACCTGTATAAGAAATCAAGAAATTAGAAAACAAAACCAAAAGAATGAAAAAAGAGAAGAGAATGAAATATCTCATTGGAAAAAAAAAACAAGACCTGTAGAATAAATCTAGGAGAGATCATTTAAAAATTACTGGACTACCTGAAAGCCATGATTGAAAAAAGAGCCTACATATCATCTTTCAAGAAATTATTGAGGAAAACTGCCTTGATATTCTAGAACCAGAGGGTAAAATAGAAATTGAAAGAATCCCTGCTTACCTCATGAAAGAGATCCCCAAAGGAAAACTCTTAAGAATATTATAGCTAAACCCCAGACTTCCCAGGTCAAGAAGAAAATATTGCAAGCAGTCAGAAAGAAACAATTCAAGTACTGTGGAAACCCAATCAAGATAACACAAGATCTAACAGCTTCTACATTAAGGGATCAGAGGTCTCGAAACGTGATATTCTGGAGGTCAAAGGAGCCAGGATTAAAACCAAGAATCATCTACCCAGGAAAACTGAGTATAATCTTTCGGGGGAAAAGTGGATATTCAATGAAATAGAGAACTTTCAGGCATTCTTGATGAAAAGACCAGAGCTGAATAGAAAATTTGACTTTCAAATACAAGACGCAAGAGAAGCATGAAAAGGTAAATAGGAAAGAGAAAATCATAAGGGACTTATTGAAACTGAACTGTTTACATTCCTACATGGAAAGATGATTGTAAATCATGAGACTTGGAAAGGTGATATTTGTAACTCCTGTGAGTTTTCTTTGTATCAGGGTATTTGGAGGGAATATATATATACATATACACACCCACCCACACACACATATATATGAATATATATACATATATGTATATATATACTCACACACACACACACATATATATATACTATATTACTATATATATATATATATATATATATATATTTATAGAGAGCACAGGGTTAGTTGAATATGAAGGGATGTATCTAAAAAATTAAATTAAGGGGTGACAGAGGTTTGTACTGGGAGAAGGAGAAAGGAGAGAGATAGAATGGAGTAAATTATCTCTTATAAATGTGGCAAGAAAAAGCTTTTATTGTGGAGGGGAAGAGGAGGGAAGTGAGAGGGAATGAGTGAATCTTATTTTAATGGCATTTGGCTTAAGGAGGGAATAACATACATACCTACTTGGGTATGGGAATGTATCTTACCCTATAGGAAAATAGGGGGTAAGGGGATAAGAGAGTGGGGGATGATATAAGGGAGGGCAGATTGGGAAGGGATAATCAGAAGCAAACACTTTTGAGGCGGGATAAGGTCAAAGAAGAGAATGGGACAAATGGGGGTGGGGGAGAGAATTGGATAAATGCCATTTTCAATTTAGGATGTCTGCCAGGAGTTGATTGGTGGATTCTTTCTATGGCTATTCTGCCCTCTGGTTCTAAGATCTCAGGGCATTTTTCCTTGATGATTTCCTAAAAGATACTATCCAGTCCCTTTTTTTCCATCACAATTTTTAGGTAGACCAATAATTTTTAAATTGTCTCTCCTGGATTGATTTTTCCAGGTTAGTTGTTTTACCAGTGAGGTATTTTACATTTTCATCTATTTTTTCATTCTTTTGTTTCTGTTTGACTGATTCTCATTCTCTCATAGAGTCATTAGCTTCCATTTCCCTAATTCTAATTTTTAGCAAATTGTTTCTTCTATTAGATTCTATACCTCCCTCCCCATGTGGCCAATTGTGTTTTTTTAGGGACTTGTTTTCTTCAGTGTACTTTTCCCCCAGTTTGCCAATTGCATTTTTTAAGGTCTTGTCTTCTACAGTTAAAAAGCTGTTGACTCTCTTTTATACCTCTCATTTCTTTTCCCATTTTTTCTTCTCCCTCTCTCATTTAACTTTTAAAACCTTCTTGAGCTCTTCTAAGAAGGTTTTTTTTGGGGCTTCAGACAAGTTAATATTCCCTTTTGAGGTTCCAGATGTGGGTTTGTTGACGATGTTGTCCTTTTCAGAATTTCTGCCTTGATCTTCACTGTTGCCATCATATGAATCTATGGTACATTTCTTTTTGCTCATGGTGTTTCCTTATTCCCTGGTCTTTAAAGAAATTGAGCTCTCCTGCTGGGGAGCAGAGGGCACTTACCCAAGCTTCTTGTGTCGGAGCCCAGGGCTTGGTCACTGGCTTTGTCTGCTGGGGACTCTGATGCTGGCAGTTTAACCGGTTAACTCCAACTGGCATTTGGAGGCTGTAGGGTTCTGGCAGTTTAACTGGTGTTGGGCTGGAATCAGCAACACTGGCACTCTAGGGGTAAGGTTGGGTAGTGTGTCTCCTGGAGATTTCCTGCCCACCTTTCCTTCCTTTTGCTTTCTCTTCAGCTCCTTTCAGATGGATGTTGTAGGATGTTTATCCTCCTGGGGCCCCTTGGAGCTGCTTCCTTTGGTCTTGCTGAGACACTGAGACAGCTGGTTGCTGTAGAATGTGAAGGCACCCATGTGTTTCCAAGCTGGTTTCCATTGGTTCCCCCTCCCTCACTGAGGCACTCAGGGATCCAGGTGTTGGTGTTTTCCTGCTCCACCAGCTGGATTTCAGGACCTCCCCCTGGTACGTTGAGGTGGGGCTTTCCACTAGCTGTCTGGGATGCCTCCTGTTCTGTACTGCTCCCCTTTCCCCAGGGCCAGAGGGGCCTTTCCTGTTAATCCCTCAAGGGACCTAGGCTGCCAGACTGCTGCACCCTGTCTTTGTTCTGGTTCAGCTATCCTAGGGTTTTTCCTGGATGATATTTTCTGGGCTTTCAGAGGTTAGTAAGGGATGGGAAGAGTGGCTTAACTTTTACTCTATCATCTTGGCTCCCAGAAGTGCAACCTGAGAATAGGCTAAATGGAGGGAATGGAGATATGTCAGTCTTTCACCACATAAACATAATGGAAATGTTTTGCATGACTACAAATGCATCATCTATACTGAATTGCTTGCCTTGTAAGTGAGGTTGGGTAGGGAGAGAGGGAGGGAAAGAATTTGGAACTCAAGGTTTTTAAAAAAATGTTAAAAAGTGTTTATACATACAACTGGGAAATTAGATATACAGCAATGGGGTATAGAAATCTATCCTGCCCTACAACAAAATGGGGCAAAAAGATAAGGGGTGGGTATGATAGAAGGGAGAAGAGGTTGGGGGAAGAGAATATACACCATTGGGGTAGGGAGAGGGGAGAAATGTGGAGAAAATTTGGAACTCAAAATCTTTTGAAAGTGAATGTTGTAAAGTAAAAATTAATAAATTATTTAATTAAAAAAAAAAAGAAAACCCTAAATGAGATCATGAAGAGTTGGACAGAACTGAAAAATGACACAAAAGTCAAATATTCTTTTCGTTCATAATATCTAATAAATAAACAAGATAACTCACCCAGACTGAGTGATTCCTTCACTTTATTGTGAAGGGAAAACAGTGAATTGTGGTTAAGCATTTATGAAGCACCTACTATCTGTGCTGAGTACTTTAGAAATAGCATCTCTTTTGATCCTCCCAATAAGCCTGGGAGGTAGGTGCTAATTTCATCCCCATTTTACAGATGAGGAAACTGAGGCAAACAAAGGTGAACTGACTTGCCTCAAATCTTAAGTATTTGAGGCTGAATTTGAACTTAAGTCTTTCTGACTCCAAGCCCAGAGCTCTAGCCACTGTGCCACCTTCCCTAAAGTGCCAAGCAAGCCCTACTCCAGAGTCTGAAGGAGTATAAAACCCCTCTCTGGTGGGTTCCCCATTGATTGTCAATTAAGTAGCCAGTATGCAATGAACAATCAGCACATAACTTGCCCCCTTACCTGGGTCGCACTCTGATCTTGCACACACAAGAACTTCCCTTTAGGTTTAGCTCTTGCTGAGCTCTGAAGGTAGGGTTATCTGCCTTCCTCTCTAGCTCTGTGGAAAACTCATGTGCCTGGTGGTACATATGACCCCCTTTTGTGCCTTTTAGTCTCCAATCTTGGCCTCAAAAGTGTATATATCCAAGGACTTGGGTTCTATTCCACGATTCCCTGAATGACATTTTCTGGACCCGGTACTTTTTCTTACAGAGTCTTCTAAGAGGTAGAATCCCTCAGAGATTGGACTGATGCATGTATCTAAGGGTTTGTGTGTGTTCTGTGTGTGTTTATGGCCTTGTATATGAAACAGCATAAATATGCTATGTAGCCTACATATGTACAAATAGTTGAGATTTCATTATATAGGTGTCCATCAAGTTCTGTGTCTATGCCCTCAATATTTTTTTTTCCGTGGACTTTGATAATATGTGTTACCCCTTGTGTCTCAGTTTCTCTGTAGCTGGGGAGATAATTATAGGGCTGCTCAGAAGGTTGGAAAGAGATGCTGGTGAAGGACTGCCCAACAAGCTGTGACCACATCAAAGAAGGTGGTGTGCTCTGTGAGCAAAGCAGAATTACAGTGGCTCAAAAAATGTGAGATGCATAAATTTGGAGACATCTTCACTCCAATTGTTCATACAGACTATTTGTGCCTGAACTAGGGTCGAGCATGCCAAACTTGTATTGGTTTGATCTACCACAGTCAGACACATTGTACCTCAACTCCAACGTGGTCATGTCATTTTGGTCCTCTTGGAGAACAAAGGACCGCAAGCAACTGATGAACCAGTATACGTTTGAAAGATCAGTAATGTAGTTTAGCAGGAGAGAACAATGGCTTTGCTTCTGGTGATTTGTTCCAGCATCCCCACCACCACTCATTTGCAAAGAAGAGAAAAGGAGTTACTGGGTTAATACTGTTGATTGTCCCCTCCTGGATACTCTGTCTTCTTTGACTTCCATGACACTGCTGTCTCTTCACTTTACTCCTCCCTTTATGACTGTCTCTTCTCAGTCTGCTTTGATGGGTTCCTCCTTTCCACTAAGTGTGAGTGTCCCTTGAGATTCTGTCCTTGACCATCTATCATTCTCTCTCTCTACTCTTCCTCTTGGTGATCTTGATTTAATCAGGTCCCATGGGTTGAAGTATGATTTCTATAGAGATTACTCCAAATCTACATATCCAGAGGTAATCTGCCTATTGGACATTTTCAAGTGGATAGCCTGTAGGAAGTGGTTTGTTGGAACCAACTCATGTTGAACTTTGAGAGCTGATAGTTGCGCCTTTCAGTGTGAGCCTTGAAATCTTGGAAAGTAAAAAATGCTACAAATCAAGACTCAATTTATTGTTTTGTAGATTGTTGACTTTAGAGTGATGGAAGGAATGGTAATGATGCAGATTAAATTTAAGTGTGTTATGCATGCATTTTCCCCCTGATTCTTAAGCATTTAAATCCCTGTGGATTTCTCAAACTCAGTATGTCCAAAACAAAGCCTATTCCATTTCCACCTAAAGTGATCCCTTTTTCAAACTCCATTTATGATGATGGTAACCATCCTTCCTGTCACCCAGGCTAGAAAACTTGACCTGGAGTCAACCCCTACTCCCACAACCTCTAACCTAATTTGTGCCCTCATAAACATCTACCTGAATTAGGGGCAATAGTCTCTTTCTGTCTCTCAGCAATTGGGGTTAAATGACTTGCCCAGGGTTACACAGTTACTACATGTCTGAGGCCAGATTTGAACTCAAGTCCTCCTGAGTCCAGGGCCTGTGCTCTATTCACTGCACCCCCTGGCTGCCCCAGGGCAGTAGTCTCTTCATTTGCCTACTGAATTCCAGTCTCTCCCTCTCTCAATCAAGTTTCTGCATAGCTGCCAAATGAATCTTCCCAAACACAGGTCTGAACATGTCCTCCACTCCTCTACCCCTCAAAATTCTTAAGATCTTCACAATTTGGTTCCTACCTCCATATGCAATCTTATTTCATGATATGCTCTCTGTTTAGTCAAAGTGACTTGCCAGGTGTTCCCCATATGTGACATGCCATTTGTCTCTGAGTCTTGGCACATGGTCCTGTATACCTTGAATATACTTCCTCCCCACTTCCATCTCATAGATCCTCTAATTTCCTTTATAGAATAACTCAGGTGACACTTTCTATATGCAGGATTTCCTGACTCCAACCTCCAATGGGTATTTAAAAAAATTTTTTTTGTTTGTATTTTCCTCTTCATATACATCTTGATCATCCTGGCGGAATGTTACTTCCTTGAGTAGCAAGGACTGTTTATTTTTTTTTGGATCCCCAATGTCCAGTGCAATATCTTACAAATACTAATTGTTCAATAAATACTTAGTGAATTGAAGTATACCAAGCTGCTTTCTTTATATAGTATCTCATGTTGTGCAGATCACTGAACTATTACCATTAAGTATATCTCATTTTTCATTCATATTTAGTTAATAAGACAATTTACTTTTGCCGATAAATAGTAAACCCCCTTTGATTATACTACCAGTAATATTCCATTGGTGTCATTTTATATCTTTTCAGATATCCTATGATGCATGGCTTGTGTTCACCTAAAAAGGACGAACCTTATATTTTGTAAACGAGAAGGCGCAAAGGAAAAAAGAATGTATTTTAATTCAGCAAGTTTTATTTTTTATATTGACATGTTCTGAATGGAGCCCCAAACATTTGCTGATGAGAAAAAGGGAGAAGGCAGAGAGGCAGAAAGTAGAAAGCATAATGGCTCATCAATGAGGAAGGGGCATGGATGATGATGGCTTTCTGCCACTTGACTGAAGGTTGTCAGTTGTCTAAGGTCTAATACTTAACAATGATGAAACTGAAAAGTATGACCTTCTATCAAGCTCTTAATTAACTTTTCTTATTTCCTTCATTCAAAATGAATTTGAGACAGTGTCTTAAAAATCCATTCATATTAATCATTAATCAGTTCAGCTGCAGGCTTCCATTGGTCAACCTGGTGATTGAATTATTGAAAGCTTTTATTGATGTCCTGCTACTCCTTACAGATACAATAAGAATGCTGGCAAGATGGGGCCATGTGATTGGTCTCACATTTTCAGAACGGTGCGAATGCTGAAATGAGAAATGAAAGGTATTAGTTAATTCACACTTCAGGCAATCTGTTCTGTGACCAAGTAGGCTTCCATGTAGGTAAGTACCATCTTGGTCTGCAGAGCTTTCCTAATCACACCCTTTATCATTCATGGACAAACTAGGCCCAGGAAAGTAGGGGAGGAGATCAAAATCATACCTCTGTTCCATTTTTTCCTGTCTTCCCATTCTCAGTTTCTCTGTCATTAAATCAGATTTAATTTCTCTTTTTGTCCATGCCCATAATCACCATTGAAAATTATGTATTAAGGACCTGAATACATGACATTTTACTAGGCATGAGGGTCAGAGAGTAATATATGTAGTAACAAGATGACAGGCAGCTTATGGTAGAAGCCATGCTATTGTATACCAAAAATTCTCTCATAGATATTCCTGAGTCAATGTAGGTGATAGAAAAGAAAGTTGGTTTATTTTAATCCCAAAAGCCTCTTGGGAAGGGGATGCATTGAGTATTTAATTTCAAACTGACATTTTATATCCTTTTGCTCCCCAATATCCAATAGTGTGAATATCAATGGATACTCTTGGAGTAAGCAATTATTGTGTCTCAAGAAATGAAAGTACTAATTTTTCAAATTTCCATCTGATATATTAAGTTATACTTGACTGTATTAAGCACCACCATGGAATATACACCATGGTATTCTAGGATTTTTCCGTAATGATATTATATGTAGAAGCCCTTAGTGTAGCAGAAGTTGTTTTGTTCTTTCCTTCCAACGAGTAATATCATAGACTAAATCATTCCCCTGAAGAACAGAGCAAATTAGTTGGTAGGGAGGGGGCTTGGGAGGATCAGTAAGGAAGCCAAATTTTTATTTTTCCTAGACTTTATTTACATATACTGTAGTCATCACTACATATCCATACATTACTGGATGAAAAAATACTTATCTGTAATAGAAGGTAAAGGGCATATTTGTTGACATTTACCTACTTACTTAAAAATCATATTATTTAAAATCATCTTATTTGTGACTTTAGTCTCATGTATCAGAATTCATGAGTCTTAATATCTACTAGAGCTAAAGTGGCCCCAAATCTGAAAATTATAATACTGTTGTCAAAAGAAAGCTCAAATTTCCAATATCCTCTAGAGAGAATTCATAGTTAAAACCAATGCTGAAGCAAGATAGTCCCGAATTGATGACTTGGGATTTTCAAACTTATGACATGATTATAGTTCTTAATAGGGGTCTCAACAATTTCATCTAGATGGGCAGAGCCAAGATGGAGGAGTAAAAGCAGTAACTTGCTTTAGCTCTTCCCCAAACCCTCCAAATTCCTGTAAAAATTGGCTCTAAACAAATTCTAAAGCAGCAGAACCCACAAAAACACAGAGTGAAACAAATTTCCAGCCCAAGACAACCTGGATGGTTGATCAGAAAGGTATATCACGCCAAGCTGGTAGAGGAGCACAGCGTGGCATGGGCAAGCAGGCGTCAGCGAAACTTGGAGCAGTCCTCAGAGGACTAAATCATGGGTAGCTGTGCAGGTTTCCAGACTTCTCAATCCATGAACACCAAAGACAAGTTAGAATGTTAGTAGGAAAAGTCTGTGTCTTCACTGAGAGAGAGAAGCTCAGGATCCCAGCCCCATTCCCAAAGTGTGACCTCAGGGTGGTGGCTGTGTCTGGAGCTTCTAGCCCACAGACTAAGGGGAAATCAAGTGGCTGATCAGAGGGCATTATAGGGTTCTCTTTGCTGGTGCTGAGGCAGGATTCTCTTGCTTTGCCTGTGCTTGGATCTGGGTCACAGCTCTGGGTGATGGTCCTGGGGGGAGGAGGAGCACTGGCAAGGTGGAACTTGTAGTGGCTGTGAAAAGAGAATCCTCCTCACAGTTCCAAGACAGAAAAGAGTTCTTGTGGTCACTAATACACCAGAGCATAGGCCAGGAAAGGAGTAAACACCTCGCCTTTCATCATAGCACCTTGGAAGAACTGAAAATTTCCAAGTCCTTAGAAGTATCTCTGAAAATAACTGCACAAAACCTCCAAAGCTTGGGACAGTACATTCTTCACACTGGAAGCAGACCTCTACCTTAATAAAAAGTTTGTAACTGAAGTAATTGGCTGGGATCATGAGCAAGTAGCGCAAAAAGAGTCAGGCCATAGAATCTGACTTTAGTGACAAAGAAGATGAAAACATACAACCAGAAGAAGACAACAAAGTCAAATCTCCTACATGCCAAGCTTCCAAGAAAAATGTGAATTGGTCTCAGCTCATGGAAGAGTTGAAAAAGGATTTTGAGAAGCAAGTAAGAGAAGTAGAGGAAAAACTGAGAGTGATGCAAGAAAATCATGAAAAACAAGTGAACAGCTTGCTAAAGGAGACCCAAAAAATTACTGAAGAAAATAACACCTTAAAAAATAGCCTAACCCAAATGGCAACAGAGGTCCAAAGAACCAATGAGGAGAAGAATGCCTTAAAAAGCAAAATTGGCCAAATGGAAAAGGAAGTCTAAAAGCTTACTGAAAAAATACTTCCGTAAAAATGAGAATGGAGCAATTGGAAGCTAGTGGCTTCATGAGAAATCAAGACACTATAAACCAAAATCAAAAGAATGAAAAAATAGAAAACAATGTGAAATATCTCATTGGAAAAACAAGTGACCTGGGAAACAGATCCAGGAGAGATAATTTAAAAATTATTGGAGTATCTGAAAGCCATGATCAAAAGAAAAGCCTAGACATCATCTTTCAAGAAATTATGAAGGGAATCTGCTGTGATATTTTAGAACCAGAGGGCAAAATAGAAATGGAAAGAATCCACCAATCACCTCCTGAAAGAGATCTCCAAAGGAAAACTCCTAGGAATATTGCAGCCAAATCCCAGAGCTCCCAGGTCAAGGAGAAAATTTGCAAACAGCCAGAAAGAAACAATTTAAGTATTGTGGAAACACAATCAGGGTAATCCAAGATTTAGCAGCTTCTACATTAAGGGACCTTTGGGCTTGGAATATGATATTACAGAGGGTAAAGGAGACAGGATTACAACGAAGAATCACCTACCCAGCAAAACTGATCATAATCTTTTCAGGGACAAAATGGATGTTCAGTGAAATAGAGGACTTTCAAGTATTTTTGATGAAAAGACCAGAGCTGAATAGAAAATTTGACTTTCAGATACAAGACTCAGGAGAATCACAAGAAGGTAAGCAGGAAAGAGAAATCATAAGAGACTTATTATTATTGAACTGTTTACATTCTGCAAGGAAAAATGCCATTTATAACTCATGAGTCCTTTGTCAGTATTAGAGTAGTTGAGGGGAAATATGTCATATATATATATATATATATATATATATATATATATATATATATATATGTATATATATATATAATATTGTATATATACACAGATACATACATATATATTACATATATATAGTATATGTACACTATATAGTATATCTATATAGTATACATAGATATACCATATATAGTATAATAGAGAGATATATAGAGAGAGAGAGAGAGAGAGATAGAGATAGATAGATAGATAGATAGATAGATAGATAGATAGAAGGCCCAGGGTGAGTTGAAGATGAAGGGGTGACATCTGGAGAATAAAATTAAGAAGTGAGAGAGGATTATATGGAGAGAGGGAGAAACAGGGAGGTAGAATGAGGTAAATTGTCTCACAGAAAACAGACAAGAAAAGCTTTTTACAGTGGAGGGGAAATGGGGGAAGGTGAGAGGGAATGAGTGAATCTTATTCTCATCGGATTGACTTAAGGAGAGAATAACATACACACTCAGTTGGGTATGAAAACCTATCTTACCATAGAGGAAAATAGAGGGGGAAGAGGACAAAAGAGCAGGGGAATGATAGAGAGGGGGGCAGTTGTGAAAAGGGTAATCAGAAGCAAACACTTCTGAGGATGGATAAGGTCAAAAGAGGAATAGAACAAATGGGGGGCAGGATAGGATGAAGGGCAATATACTTAGTTGTTCACAACATGACTACTATGGAAGTATTTTGCATGACTACACATATATAACCTATATCAAGTTGCTTGCCTTCTCAATGAGGGTGGGTGGGGAGAGAGGAAGGGAGAAAATTTGGAACCTAAAGTTTTAAAAACAAAAGTTAAAAAAATTTCATCTAGATTTTGCTTCTTAGGCCTAGTAATTCCATCTTATTTCCCTCCACCTGCTGCCTTGGACTTTTGCCATATGACCTTCAGTAAAAACCATGAAATTAATTTTTATTGCTTTGGACTTTGGAGAACCTGTAGATTACAAGTGCCCAGCTTCAAAATCCCCCCTTTCCCATGGGGTAAGAGGAACGTTACATTATCTGTCAATATCATTTTGGCCTTCATGTTCGACTCTTACAGACCTGCTACCATGCATATTCTACTTCGCCCAGCTCTAGTTAGATGACATTCTACCATTTCAATCAAATATACCTGGTTGTCTGTTGACCCATGTTCTAGTCTCAGTTTTTTAATACTGGCTTTTTGACCCTGAGTAAGTCTCTTAAACTGTCTGAGCCTCATTTCCCTCACCTAATTCTGTATGTCTTAAGTGTCTCTTTCCCTACTGGCCCTTTCCCACCATTAGATTGTAAATTCTTTAAGAATATGGACTCTGTCATTTCATCTTGTTACCTAGCACCTAGGACACTAATAAAATCTGTGGAAGCATTCCTTTTGGAGTCTTTCCTAAAAGAGGGGAACAAAAAACATTCCAAGGTAATATTATCTATACCACAAAGGAAGTTCTTAGAGGGAGAGTTAGCATTAAAAAATACTTATTTCTAAGTAGACCGGAATGGTGTTTTTAAAGCACACAGTAGGTGTTTTTGGTTGTTTGGTCATTTCAGTCATGTCTCTATGTGATCCCATTGGAGTTTTCTTGGTAAAAGTACTGGAGTGGTTTGCCATTTTCTTCTCCAGCTCATTTTAT